GAAATGTTATTAAACAGAATATGACAAGGGAAATGTTACTAAACAGAATATGACAAGGGAAATGTTATTAAACAGAATATGACAAGGGAAATGTCACTATAAACAGAATATGACAAGGGAAATGTTACTAAACAGAACATGACAAGGGAAATGTTACTAAACAGAATATGACAAGGAAAATGTTACTAAACAGAATATGACAAAAGAAATGTTACTTAACAGAAGATTACGAGGGAAATGTTACTATAAACAGAATATGACAAGGGAAATGTTACTAAACAGAATATGACAAGGAAAATGATACTAAACAGAATATGACAAGAGAAATATTGCTAAACAGAATATGACAAGGGATATGCCATTAAACAGAATATGACGAGGGAAATGTCACTAGAAACAGAACATGACAAGGGAAATGTTATTTAACAGAATATGACAAGGGAAATGTTACTTAACAGAATATGACAAGAGAAATGTTACTAAACAGAATATGACAAAAGAAATGTTACTTAACAGAATATGACGAGGGAAATGTTACTATAAACAGAACATGACAAGGGAAATGTTACTTAACAGAATATGACAAGAGAAATGTTACTTAACAGAATATGACAAGGGAAATATTGCTAAATATGTCAAGAGAAATATTGCTAAACAGAATATGACAAGGGAAATAATACTAAACAGAATATGACAAGGGATATGTCATTGAACAGAACATGACAATGGAAATGTTACTAAACATAATATGACAAGGAAAATGTTAAAAAATAGAATATGGCAAGAGAAATGTTATTTAACAGAATATGACAAGAGAAATATAAGATAAGATAAGATAAGATAAAGTTTATTGCTAAAATACATGTATTTGTGTACTGATAGAGTTTACAATTACAAATTGATGATTATATTAACAGTACAAGTATAAAGCAATTAGGTGGAAAATAGCTCTTGGCTGTTTTGATTATTTTTCCACCTAATTTTAGTAATAATAACAAAACATTTCAATTAAATAGATTTAAGGAGAACGATTAGAGATCAGGGTGCGAATTTATCTTATGCAAAATAGCTTATACATTAATTCGAATAACTAGAGTTCAAAGCAATTGTCTGACATGTACACAACAAATATCAAAGCATATTAAAACATATCTAATTAGTTTTACATAAATAGCAATTCGGTATATAACACATTGTCCTATAATTTTCAAAAAGAGAATTTATTAGTATACTTAGAGAGTTGCTTCTTTTTAAGTCAAGAGGCAGGTTATTCCACATCTTAAGAGGAGAGCTTGAACTAAACAGAATATGACAAGGGATATGTCATTGAACAGAATATGACAAGGAAAATGTTACTAAACATAATATGACAAGGAAAATGTTAATAAACAGAATATGACAAGGAATATGTCATTAAACAGAATATGACAAGGGAAATGTTACTAAACAGAATATAACAGGGGAAATGTTAATAAACAGAATATGACAAGGGAAATGTCACTATAAACAGAATATGACAAGGGAAATGTCACTAAACAGAATATGACAAGGGAAATGTTACTAAACAGAATATGACATGGGATATGTCATTGAACAGAACATGACAATGGAAATGTTACTAAACATAATATGACAAGGAAAACGTTACTAAACAGAATATGACAAGGGAAATGTTACTAAACATAATATGACAAGGAAAATGTTACTAAAAAGAATATGACAAGGGAAATGTTACTAAACATAATATGACAAGAGAAATGTTACTAAACAGAATATGACAAGGGAAATGTTACTAAACAGAACATGAAAAAGGAAATGTTACTAAACAGAAAATGAAAAGAGAAAAGTTACCATACAGAATATGACAAGGGAAATATGTTACTGAACAGAATATGGCAAGGGAAATGTCACTAAACAGAATATGACAAGAGAAATGTCACTTAACAGAATATGACAAGGGATATGTCACTATAAACAGAATATGACAAGGGAAATGTCGCTAAACAGAATATGACAAGGGAAATGTTACAAAACAGAATATGACCAGGGTTATTATACTATCAATAGAATATTACAAGGGAAATGTCACTAAACAGAATATGACAAGGGAATATATGACTCATACACACAACTATTTAAGCAACATCATGTAATAGAAAACACTTTATTGATTTTTATTAACACTGATAATACAATTTTACAGATGATAAATAAATAAAAATAATCCTTTCTCTCCGATATTAAGTTATCAGTAATCATATTCATCATATTGCACCTGTCCTCCATGTCCCCCATAACCCCCATGTACTCCATGTTGCCCATACCCCCCATGTCCTCCATGTTGCCTATATCCCCCGTATCCCCCATGTTGTCCGTATCCCCCATATCCTCCATGATGCCCATATCCCTCCTCATCATAATTGTCATATTCTGGGTCCTCTTCATCTCCCCCAGGTCCCAACAAACCACCCAGCAGACTTCCTAAATATTAACAAAATCTTTTTTTTATGAAAGGGATTAGAGCTAGGGGCGTACACAGGAAATTTTCCAGGGGGGACTTCCAGTTTTTCCTTTCCAAACACCAGTGAAACCTAAGATTTTACTGATCCAGGGGGGGGGGGCTGAGCTCCTGTAGCCTACCCCCATCCCCGTGTACGCCTTTGTGTAGTGTACAGTGTACAGTGTTCGTTAATTATTGCTAAGAAAGAGCGCAAAACCGATCTTTAAAATCCTCCTGGCGCTCGCCCCCAGGAAGGTTGGGGCGTATCACGCCTGCGGCAAGTGTCTGGATGATTTTAAAGATCGAAGTGCTCATAATTAATTTATAAGAACAAAGGGAGCCTTTATGTTTGAAAATAGGGAAGGATTAGGAAGTGTTCATAATGTTGAAACTGACCTAATAAAGATCCTTTTCCTGCACCCAATGCAGCGCCTTTAAACGCGTTCAGATTGTCAATTATATGGGTTAGTGTAGCTATAACTAAAAACAAAACACCTTGGAATGTACAGTTGTCGTCGAATTACAGGGTGTCCCAAAAAACATGGGAATTACTTTTTCTTCTAGAGTTTATTTTGTCTGCTAGAGTTTATTTTATGAAAACGGTAAATGGCTGTAAAGATGTGTCTATAATGTCTCCGCAAGATGAACAGTGAAGTCTGACAAGTTTACTCTGTATGTAAACTGTCATAATTCTTTGTTTTACAAAGTACAACCGTATGCAATGAAAACTTAAACAAACAAATTGTAAACATAGCAGACGAAACTCTTACAGATTACAGCTTTCTCAGTAGGTATCACTATACTAAATCAAAGAATTATTTAAAAAGACGATATCGAATTCGTCACTGAATTCCCATGTTTATTGGGACACCCTGTATATCAATACAATGAAGGTAAATTTTTAATTTCTACCAAGGTTGGATTCACATAAACATGTAAACCAAGAGAATGTGTTAATTATTTTTTATCTTCGTTTATTTGTAATCTTGAATTGAAATTGAAAAAGGTTGTTAGAAATCAAAACTTAAAGGGAAAAGTCGTCTTCATTGTATTGATTTAAATGTTCTTGTATATATGTTAATTGTAAATAGAAAAAGAAATTATAAATTATATTTTTATATTTTTGTTTGCTAGATATTTTCTAATGAAAATGACTTTACAGATTCTTTATGATTCTAAAAATAATATTTACTAAATAAGGGAGCTGGAGCTGGAGCCGGAACTGGAGCCGGAGCTGGAGCAGCATTCATCTGGCTGGTTAGAAGACAGAAAGAAATGGAAACAACAAGATAACCCTGAATAAAAAATATGATTTATATTGATGTGGTGTTATACAAATATTATGCAAATAGTCCAATAAGTATTTTAAGCTTTTGAATTTTTAAAAGTGCAGTAAATGCTTGATATTACAATTAAAACGTATTCCTTTTATTCATTTAAAGGGAGTGTCTAGCTAAACATGGAAGTTGAGCTGAGAATGCAGTTTTATAAAGAATTTTTTAGGATTTATTTGTGACCTCTGCATATTTGTTCAACAAGAGTGCAAATTTAATCTTTAAAATCCTCATAGATTGTTGATTTTGGAGGAATGATTTCGAGAATTGGGTTTAAAAATTATGCTATGACGAGTCACGAAAAATGTAACAAAAATTGTACAATAAAATAATTATTTGTATAGGAACAGGGTGAGCAAATAAAACATTTGCTTTTATCATCGAAAATAAGTAAACTTATTCAGTTATTGGTTTCTGTAATGTCTTATTCTTCAACAAATTTTCTGTAGATTTCCTGGCATTTTTATTGAAAAGACGACATTTGAAGAATTCTGCGAACAAATTCATAAAGAATATGAAATTCAGTATAATGATAAAAAAGAAATAGTTTATTAAAGCATTGATTTATTGACAAATTTAAATTGAGAAATATGTTCCTAAACATCTATTTACTTTACTTTGGAATTTTTGTTACATTTTTCAACGTCGATTCTTAAATACATCACTCCTAAATGAACAATCATATTTCATAGACTTTTGATTTTAAGGTTTTATCAAAGACAAGTTTAAATATAAATTATGAAAATAGCGGGGCATTGGTCAAATATTTGTGCACCGATTGTAAACCTCGACCTATGTTGTAATAAGGAAATTTTAAATTTAAATGTATATAAGGCCAAGCGGAAATTCTTTAACAATTGTAATGAATTTTCTTTAATGTTTGTCGACTTTTACACCCATTTTTAATATAAAAATATTTTTTTCAATAAAAGTGTGTCAATTTGAAATACAGGGTTACCCACAAAGGATGAGACTGTAAAGAGTAAAGACAACTTAAAACTTTAAATATATGTCGATCCCAAGGTCAAGTTAAGTCTCCTGGATCCCAAGGTCAAGTTAAGTCTCCTGGATCCCAAGGTCAAGTTAAGTCTCCTGGATCGGTTCAAGTCTTGAAATGTCTGATTTAATCATTCAAGGCAAAGAAAGACACATTTTACAGTTACGGGCAGTATCATAAAAATGGGGAGACAGACTGCGGCTAGGACAGGCTAGGGGGCCGAGCGCTGTGGCTAGGGGGCCGAGCGCCGCGGCTAGAACTGGCTCTCTCTCTGTCTAATAATTCATTGCGGCATTCGTAAGTAACGGAGTTTGACCGCTGCCTGATTTCAAGTTGCCAGTTACCTATTATGCTTTGTATTAACATCAAATTAGCACAAGTTTAATTTCAAGTAAACCTCCATTCAAATATTGCAATGCCCGATTCACAACGGTACCCTTACAATATCGTCCACATTATTGATCAGATAATGGTTTCATGGGTACCGTTGTGGATCCGGTATTGTTATCTTTGTATAAAGGGTCATATAAAATTACGCTTACAATCCCTTTAAAAGTCGTCTTTCTCTTTCACAGTTTTATGAAAGTCTATGAATATTGATTAGAACTAACCATATCTACTTTGTATCTCTGAGAACTAAGAACTACATTTGGTTTAAGCTGTTTAAATACTAATTATATTCAGATATAACCCCAAGTTAATATATTCAAGTAAATGTAATCAAAAAACTTTTTATCCTAAATTCTGAAGAATTGTGACCTTCCATTTGCTATTATTCAGCGCTTTCATTTACAACAAATGTTCTATCTAAATAAAGCTTTACTTTAGAGGCATTTAAACTCATTTATACAATTCACTCTACGCTTCACGGTGAACTAGAGGTCTTCAGTCGTTGTTGTATGTATCAATACAATGAGGACGACTTTAGATTTAAGACAGCATGGATACACATGAACTTGAAAAGCATGAGAAGCTCAAATAGAAAAGTCGTCTTCATTACATTGAAGTACGTGTCTTAACTGTAGAACCAATTTTCACCCCTTTTATGTTGATTTTTTTAAAAGTGAATTATATAAGGTCTATTACGTCATATGTATTTTAAATGAGAGATTAAAATATGACTGAAATATTCCGACACACAGGATTACCCACAAAAGATGAGACTTCAGAGACGATTGTCCATTTTTTGGTGCATTCAGGATTCCTTGTTGGCCAAACCTGTACTTAATCATAACATTGTTAACCATTAACTTTAAGACCTCTGGATAATGTCGTCTTCAACGTAAAATTTCCTCTCGGAGACAGGCCAAACCAAATTATTTCAGCCCGCATACTCTTTGTTCTTTGTCCCACGGAACTTCAACCATTTTTGTTATTGTGAAATCATTAAAGTTAAACAAAATATTTTCATATGAAGCATTAGTGAATTTCGTAAAATATTCAGCTGTAATTTTTTCAGAAGTTTAAAAATAGAATTTCAATACTGACCAACAATAAGTTTCCCCGAACCATGGAAAAATAAATCGTAAGATTTTTTCTATTATTAACATTTATTATAACATTGTACAAGTAACCATGACCTATAATTTATGTTATTTTTTTGGGAATTCAGGTTTTTGTTATCGATTTCTTGTGACGGGGTTACTCTGTGGTGTGTGTTTGTGGCCGATCGACCAAGGAATTATCCGGACTGTATTTAGTTACCTACCCGGAGTTCAGACGGGCCTTAAATAAACCAGTTCATCTGTCGTGTCGCTGTTATCTGTCAACAAACATACACCATCAAAATACAAAATTGAATGCAGAAACCAAAAATCAAGCTTTAAATCGTCATTTGTTTAGAGTTTTGGGTCGTCTTTACAGTCTCATCCTTTGTGGATAACCCTGTAGTATCTTGTAGGTAGTTTTACGTTACTTGCAGCAAGTTTACAACTATGAACTATACAAACTTTATATTTCAGAGGCTCTTATTTTTAATTTATCAGATTTATACAAGATTATTTTCATGAATTTGTGCAATGTAACATGCTTACAAAGTTAATGCACGAACTTCCTTATTGTGTCACTTCAAAATATTTATCATGCAGCGTTTATATCAATGAAGACAACTTTTATATTTAAGTTTTGATTTTTAACAGGCTTTTTTTCAAATTATAAGTTTACAAGTAATCAAAGAGAAGCTGTTAATTTACAGCTTTCTTTGTTGCCATGTTTATGTGTATCCATGCTGTTTAAAAGCTTGGTAGAAATAGAAAATTGAAATCGACAGTCGTCTTCATTGTATTGATAAATACGACGATTACTGTTGTACTGTACTTTTCTTTGCGTTGTACTGTACTGTTCTTTGCCTTGTACTTTGTACTGTACTGTACTTTGCCTTGTACTTTGTACTGTACTGTACTTTGCTACTTATTGTAGAACTTTTAATTTTGCTTCTCGCTAAACCAGGAAGGACAATACCTATCTTAAACTTAAAGATAATTGTTTTTTTTTTCAGATTTATAAATAATGATTTACTTTCTTTCTTTATACAAGGAACTGTATTTACTGTTTTGATTACAGAACAATTAGCTTTGAATTGAGAAAAGCTAAATTTATTATTAAAAAACATAAAAACAGGAAAAGAATCAAAAAATCACATTTTTAGACAACACATTAAGGTTTTAACAGTATATTATTATGCAGGATGATAATCTAATTTGTGAAAAGTTCACATAGAAATCTTCGTATGAAGTGGGACAGACTGGAATTTTATGCACTTAAACACTAATATTTTATAATTTTCGTTTTATTTTTTAAATACACTTTTCATGATCGCACTTTTTTTTACTGAACAACGGAATTTTAATCTTTAAATTATGAATAAAGATCTTTATCCTAAAAATCCTCTTCTCCCTGAACCTCGGAAACCTCTACGCAGTCCTTGTCCTCGTCCACGTCCTCGACCACCTCCTCTACCATTGAGCAGGCGTCCTGAATATTTGATAACTTTCATCATTCAAAATTATGAAATGTGCAATTCATGATGCATATGTGTAGACTGTAGACCAAAGAGTATGGAATAGAAGGTAGACCACTGACGCAGCCCGCCCTACCATATGATTATGAATGCTTTGCAGACGGGTACTCCATTTGTATAAGAAATATTCAGAATAGGTTATTGTAAACGTGGTAATTGTACAGACAAATATTTCTAATTCAAAAGAAGTACGGTCTGCAAATCATGTACAATCATATGGTATGGGCGGGCCGCGTCAGTGGTATCTCCCTTCTATGCCATACTCCCTGGTGTAGACCATAAATCATTTTTGAAACCTTTCTCCAGTAGATGTCGTCTTTTAAAAAGAACCACCCCTCCTCTTATCCCGGAGCAACTTCCAAACCAAACCTACCTTCGACAACGACACAAGAATAATTGAAAAGTAAACACGTTTAAATATAGTTAATGCTTAAAATCCATGATGAACTCTACAATTAATCAACAGGGTATTTATTTTTCAGAAGTCATAAAACATTTTAAAATTTAAACCAGATCCCATCGCTCTTCATTTTACCCCACATATACCCCTATAGTAAGTTATGTCATCAAATATTAAAAACGATTTATACCAATATTTTATTTAAAACAGTATTTTTGTTTGTAGCTTTGAAATATAAAGTTATTTTGTGGAGATGAGTAGATATCAACCAGATCAACTTTAGCCTTTTCTTTTCTACAATATGGTGTTCCCATCAAACTTGACAGTTAAGATAAAATTTAAGGATCGTCCATGATCCGTGAAATTGTTTGCGGCATTCATTTTTCAACTTTGTTTTAGAAGTAAAGTATACACTGACCTACAAGAGCTCTGCCCCCAAGCGCGAGGGTATGTGCCCCCAGAGCCAGGCCGGCTCCACCCAATGCCAAGGATAGGGCAGGGTTTCCTGCACAAATATAATAAAACATTTGTCATGGTGTTTCCTTCCCTCGTTCTAGGACAAGATTAATCTTTTCATAATTAATGCATTTTATTCCTACATTTAAAAACAAGCAACTATTTTTAACATACTTTCAAGATTTATTCAAGAATTTTTTTAAAATAACTTTTTTGATTCTGTATGTTTAAAGTTTATGTAAGATTTAAATTTCTCTGTTAAATAAGCAAACAGTCCCTTAGGTAGTTTTCTTCCATCTTTCCAAAAAAAATAGAAGATAAAATATTTAAATTAAAAAATTACGAAATATTGGTGCTGGAGCCGCATTTATCTGACTGGTGAGGAGAGACAAGCAAATCAAAACTACAAGGTGAACCTAAACAAAAAATGTCTTTATTTACTATTATTATTATAAAAGTATGAAACATTTGCCAATATCTTTATACAGAGCAAGCGTCCCATATCATATTAGATTATCTCAAAGCTTTAACGCCAAAATACGCACATAATACTCGAAAAAACCGAGGGTATTTTCTTCAAGATAATTAATTTTATTAAAATTTTCTTATTGGCCCTTTAAATATCCCTTTACATCTCCCTTTAGATCTCCCTATAATATCCCTTTAAATATCTTTTTAAATATCCCTTTAAATCTCCCATTAAATCTCAAGAACACGGACCGAGTTCAATGAATTAAAGAGAGCGCTGAACTACTTACTGCCAATTCAAATCCTGAATTACCGATTCAAATCCTTGTGAATCTTTAACTTAGAATCGGTAAGTTAAAAGAGTTGAGCCGATGGTAGCCTACAGCAGGCAGTTCAGTTAGGTTGCTCAAATCCCATAATAATCCCCCTGCCCACCCACCCCCTCCATTTTCATAATTTCATATGAACATGATTAAATTTATATTTGTTTAAATGCTCTAAAAGCCGGCTTGTAAATAGCTGACTTTAATTCAATCGGATATTAGTCCAATCGATATAGCATTGTATCTTTAATTGTTATCAAACGTAACTTTTACAGTAATATACAGTAATCCAAAAAGAGGATTATAAGAAGAAAATCAAAAGTGTGTACATTCAGATTAAGCGATCAGGATTAAGGATATCTCATTCTAAAGTTAAGGTAGGATAAAGTGTATACTCACCATGTTATTATTTACTTCGAAACAAAAAATTTGATTAAAGTTATTTTAAAACTAACAAAATTTTAGAAATTCGTAAGCTTTTATATCCTAGAAAAAATACTATTTTTTGCTGTAAAACAATGATTTTCATTACGTTTCTAAATGACTTTAAGTTTTAGAATTTATTAACCAATACAATATCTAATAATGACAAATATAATATAAACACAATATTAAATGTATGCCACTATTTTTTTATGTAACTTTTGAAAAACCTTAGCTTGGAACTTTTGAATTTAGGCTTTTAATAGTTTTATCTCATCAGATTCGCGAACCAGCTCTCTCCTGCTGCAGTTTTTAATTGCACCTATAATTACATATAGTCGTCGTCGTATATATCTAGAATGAAGACGACTTTCGCTTTCAATTTTTAATTTCTACCAAGCTTTTAATTGCAGCATATGGATACAAATAATCACGTAAACAAAGAGAAGCTGTCAATTAAAAGCTTCTCTTTGTATACTAGTAGCTTTGTAAGATATCAAAACTTAAATGGAAAAGTCGTCTTCATTGCGTTAGTATAAACTCCGACAACTGTATCAGTCTATATTACTGTGTTAAGTAATGTTATTTATAAATTTAAGTCATGATATCCACACTGCTATGAAAAAATGGCCCAATTTTCAAGACCTGATCCAGACTTTGAACTGTTGCAATGCCTTTGCTTTTTATTTCACCTCGCTAACACCAATTAAATTAAATTAATTACTAAATTTTTAAATTTATTTTTAAAAAGTAATTTGCAAAACTCTCATAGTTTTTAGCGCGAGAGTTAAAAAAAACTATTGTATCACTTTGGATCTTTCAACTCTTGTAAGTGGTTGAGACAACTCTCGAGTTCTGAGGTTTAGTCAAAAAGAGTTTTTAATGAGGAATGATTTTAGTTCTTTCTAATGTTTTTGACCAATGAAAGAAAATGTCTTATTTAACATTGAAAGAACAACTTTTATATATAGTTGCCATTTACCTGGAATTGTCCTAGACAACTCTAAAACGAAATACTGCTTTTGGTTTCAATTATAATCTTAAGAAAGTATACAGTGAGAAACAGAACATTCTGGAATAGGAAGTCGACTTTTAGACTCAAGTTATGACTTAGATAGTTCTATAAACATGAGGCACATTAATCGTGCAGTGTGAACAGACCGATTTCACTTAATACGTGATATAATAACTTACTAGTAAAGCTATTTGCTTTAATAAACACAAAGTATATTGCTTTCATGTCGTCTTCCTATTCTACAATTTTCTGGTTATCACTGTATTAGAATAGTAAAGATTAATTCATAAATATTTTTATTGTTCTTTATTTACAAAATCATAAATGTTTATTTAAATCCTCTCTCCATCTGCTTCTAGATCTTGTTCATCTTCTTCTAACTGCTCTACGCCCCCTGGCCCGCCCTCGTCGACGGGATCTTCTATCCGCAATTAAACTTCCTTAACAGAAAACATAAAAAAAATTAGATGAAAAATTTCGAGTTACGAAAAAAATTGAATCTCGAAAAAAAAATTAATTTTGAAAAAAAATCGAATTTCGAAGAAAAAGAAATTTGAATTTTGAAGAAAAAAAACTAAGCTAAAACATTTCCGTGGGTCTTCCGAGTTTCCCAATCAAAATTTGAGGCAAATCGGTCCGGGGATTCCTGAGTTATCGGAAAAACAAACAGACAAACAGAGATTACAACTTTAAAAATAAAGATATGTATATATTTATATATTTTTTCGTAATCCAAGGATTCATCACCTAGTACTGTTCCTCCCCCTATAACTAGAGCCTTGGTACCAAGCAGTAACCCTCCTCCTCCGAGAGCAAGAGCTATTCCAGCATTAGTTATCGTTAATCCACCAATAGTTAGAACAGCTGGAATATATATAATTATATAGTTATCATTATTCCTCCAATAGTCAGAACAGCTGGAATATATATAATTATATAGTTATCATTATTCCTCCAATAGTTAGAACAGCTGGAATATATACAATTATATAGTTATCATTACTCCTCTAACAGTTAGAAC